AATATTTTTATATCTGTTGGTGATTTTCTTAAATATCTGAAATTCAAGAGTCAAATTAAATTGACCAAATCTTGCAACAGAAAGAAAAAAAAGGCTTTTCTCCTTTAATACAGACATCTCACTTGCTATTTTCAATCTAAAAAAGCTCATTGTGGAACCAATGTATTTTCTATGTCCTCTCTCCAGCTAGTCAGGTGAACTTAAGTTAAAAGTTAACCTTTAAGGCCTGGGACTCTTCTTTTTCTTGAGCTTACCAAGACAAAGACCTTCTTGTGTCTCATACAGGCCCTAAAAAGCATGACCGGGAAGAGTGTTATGATAACATATAGCAATTCAGCATTTCACATCTCCTCAGACTATTCTCTGCTCACCATTCATGACAGACCAACCCAAGTGTTTCTCCAGAACAGAGCAAATTTCATCAAGAAGATTTAGATTCTGATGGGTGAGTAGAACATAAATTAGGAACAAAGAAGAATATTAAATCTATCTGGCAGCTCATCTCACTTTCAGCTATGAGGTTTGAGGACATCCTTCATGAAATTGGTGGCTTCAACAAGTTCCAGTTTCTGGTTCTATACATCCTATGGCTCCCACGCGTCATCCTGCCGCTGCACTTCCTGCTCCACAACTTCATCTCAGGTGTGCCACCCCACCACTGCGCCCTGCCTCACTTGGATGACCGGTACACAGCTGGCACAGAGAAGGACAGTGCTGAGGTGTCGGCACAGATTCTGGCACTTGGCATCCCACGTAATGCAGATGGGTCCCACAGCTCCTGCAAGATGTACCCCCTTCCCCTGGACTTTGACCCTAATGCTGACCTCTCCCTAGTGTATGGAAACCGATCAAATGTGTCGGTGCCATGCCAGCACGGATGGGTATATGACCGCTCACAGTTCACCTCAACAACCGCAACTGAGGTAAAAATAAACAAAATGCTTTCCTGTACTTTATATGTTGATGATATTTTGAGTTACTTATTATATCTACTTCAAAAGCTAGAAGGACTTTGTTTTTTACCCCTTTTGACAGGGTACCGTAAAAATTGACTTTATTTCACCAGTGTATTCTCCAACAAATATGTTAATCTTGGTTTAGCTTGGTTAATCATACCTTAATACACAAGCATATATGCTTGTATATTGAGGTATGATTTCTCTCTCTTGTTCCAGTGGGATTTGGTATGTGACAACAAAAAGCTTAACCAAGCCCTTGCCACGTTTTTCTTCATTGGAGTGACAATAGGTGCTGTCATGTTTGGCCAGTTGGCAGATAAGTATGTTATTTTTATTAATATTATGTTCTAAAACCATTTGTTCCATGGTTTTTTTCCTATGAGTGTTAATTTTCTAGCATTTCTTTAATCAATGGACCTTATACTAGATTCCTTAGGCTAAAAGCCGGTCACATGACTTTTCTACAATCAAGTGTCTCTACTCACATGTCTGAGGTTGAAAAACGATTCATTCCCCTTGATTTGTTCTGCATAGCTGACTTGTACATATTTATAATCGTTCTTTGCTTTCACAACAGAGTTCAAATATTCTTTATCTCATTATTTGTCACGGAACGTCACACATCAAAACTGCTTACCTCAGGCTATCTGTGTAACAAGCATGACAGAATTTATCCACAGTTTCCCATGTGATTTTCAATGTGCAAATATCCTGCGTGGTTATATATATCTTTTTTTATATCACTCCACAGGTTTGGCCGTAAACCGATGATTCAGGTTTCCTTTGTGGCCAGTTCTATTTTTGGAATTGTTGAAGCTTTTTCCACATCTTACGTGATGTTCGCCATAGCAAGAGCCTTGTGTGGACTGGCCCTGACCGGGATGTCTATCACCACAGTTGCCCTGTGTATCTATCACTTTCTTATTTCTTTTCAATCTCTCTAGTCAACATGAAATCCAAGATGATCCGGTTTATATTCTTGTAAATGATTCATCATGATTCATGAATGATTTTAATGCTTTTTAAAGTCTCTTATGCTCACTAAGGCTGCATGTATTTGATGAAAAAAAATTCGGTTACACTTTACTTGAAGGGGTGTGCATAAGACTGACATGACACCTTCATAATCATCAAATATGAAGGTTTTTTATGCATGTTTATGACAACTCATTAAGTGTCATTCGCTCAGTTATGTAATTTTTAATGCAAAGATGACATTGTTTGAGATGTCTTTGTTATGGGCTATGGTTAGGGGTAAGGGTAGGGGTAGGGTTAGGTTAGGGTTAGGTCAAATAATGTCATATTTGCATTAAAAATTACATAACTGAGCGAATGACACTTAATGACAGTTGTCATAAACATGCATAAAACCTCCTTCATATTCATGACATGTGTCATGTCATGATTATGAAGGTGTCATGTCAGTCTTATGCACACCCCTTCAAGTAAAGTGTTACCAAAAATTCTAATCCCAAAAGTTTTACATCAGATTCTAGAAGAAAAACAGGTTGAGCACACGTATCATGCTGGTTTAGAATAAAAGACACGATCACTATTGTTTTTCACTTTGCTGTTTATGTGCATGCTGTTAATACCTTCATAAATTCTGCTCATTCTACAGGTGTTGAGTGGACAGACGTTAAACATCGCACATTTACAGGTACCATCATCAGTCTCGGGTGGAGTGTAGGGAACATGAATTTGGCTCTTCTGGCATATCTCATCAGGGACTGGAGGCACCTCATCCTGGTAGTGACTTCACCTTGCCTTGTGGGCATAATTGCCTGGTGGTAAGTGGTGGAATTGCACGTGAAAAGAAAAAAAAACTCTGGATTTTTAGGCCTCTAAATGTGCTTCATGGATAGGCCTACATGAACATTTTTCTCCTTTGTGTTTTATCTCAAAAGGTGGATTCCTGAGTCGGCAAGATGGCTGCTAGCCAATGGCAGGGTGGAAGAGGCACAGAAGTATCTCATTCAGTGTGCTAAAATGAATGGAAAGCACAGTTACACTCATAAACTAGACACTGAGGTAAACATATCCAGCTATCCTCTATAAGTTATTATTATGATAATCAGTTTTGATCTCATCCTTTACCTCTTGATTAAAAAGACCTTAAAGAAAATCACCGTTAGTGAGGTCTCCAACAAGAATCATTCCTACCTTGATCTAGTGAGGACACCGAAACTGAGGAAGATTGTGTTTTTCTCAGGGATTTTCTGGTATGTGAGGAATTTTTTTGTTTGTTTTCCATTGTGAAACAACAGTCAAACGCTGTGATTCGACAGTCTTTATTTAAATCTACAGGTTTGCAGTTGCTTTTACCTACTATGGAATCAGCTTCAACATCACTGGGTTTGGTCTGAACATCTATCTCACGCAGTTTGTCTATGGCGTTATTGAAGTCCCAGCTAAGGTCGGGACCTACTTCACTCTGGATTGGATTGGACGCAGAAATGGCCAGGCGGGGTCTCTCATTATAGCAGGAGTTCTGATTGGAGTAAACAGTATAATCCCAACAGGCACTCCTTCATTCTTTATCACCTCTTTATACCAAATTTTATGGTGGATGTTAATTATTTAAGAAATAATATATTGGTTTTGTTGTGTTGTTTCATCCACAGAGTTTTCTGCTGTGCGGACAGGGATTGCAATTATTGGGAAGGGATTCTCTGAGGCAGCGTTTACCATTGCCTTCTTGTACACATCTGAGCTTTACCCTACTGTACTCCGGTAAGTTTTACATTTGTGATGTAACATTATTCTAATATTTACGTATGTGTATTTATATTTTAAGAAAAGGACCAAAACACTTACATTTTCCACTTTAAATTTTTTTTTTAAATGAAAGAACTTCCTCTGCTTCTCTGTATCTTTCCTAGGCAGTGCGGCTTGGGCTACACCTCTTTTATAGCGCGTATCGGAAGTTCGCTGGCTCCCATGGTCATATTATTGGAGGACATGTGGCGCTTTGCACCCTCTCTAGTGTTTGCTGCCACTGCAGTTCTCAGTGGATGTGTGGTCTTCCTTCTGCCTGAGACCACGAATGTTCAGCTTCCAGAGAATGTTCTGGATATAGAGGAGGGCAGGTATAGTATATAAGCATACCAAAATAGCTTTCTGCTGAATCACACTAAATGTGAAGTACTGTTCCACCTACGAGACTTTAAACAACCATCCCACATAACGTTTTTAAGCGACTTACACTACATTCAAGGTATACATTTTACCAGTTCACCATAATACTGGATCTAATTGTGAAATGCTATGCAATATTTTTTCTCGTAGTTATTTATTTATTTATTAAAGGCACACGATGACCACGGAATCGGAGAGGGATGTTGAACTAAATGAGATGAATCCAGCACCTCCGAATTTACAAGAGAAGGATTCATGAAGACAAATACTGTCAGAAAACAATGATTCCTTACAGTTCAACACCCTTGTGGACAGATGTGAATAAATAACATCAATTGCAAGACATTTATGGTGCACAAGGGATAAAAGAATATATATATTTGATGTTCCTGGGGATGAGCTTGCACAAGAATAAAAAACACCAGTGAAGTAAAATCTCACTGAATTTAAAAGTCAACAAATAGCTGTCTATGAAGATAAGGTGTTTTTTCCTTCTTCTGTAGCTTTAAAGAAATAAAATATAATGGTGCAAATGTTTGCATGATTCTTATGTTCTTGTTCATTATGCATTTGTTCTTACTATGAAAAAAATGCTATGGAATGCTTTACAAACAGTATGTTTTACACCCTTTTATAGACTTAAGTTTAGAATTTAGAGTTTTGATATTAGCACGTTGTCAATATATGTGGCTATGGTGATGTTTTAAAATGATGATTTAATAGTAGCAGTTAACACAGTTTTGATTAACAGTAGGCTATTTGTATTTTAATAATAATTTGCCTGTAAATTATTTTATTAGACTCTCAAATAAATATTTTACACTGTTACCACAGCTATGCATTCGAGGTCTCTTGTCTGTCAATCATCTATCAATAACACTCCATAGCGGCAGGGGGTGCAAGTGCATCACATACAGCTTTGAATACAACAGAATGAGGCGTAGTAGAGTTTCACGGGTCAGTTGTTCGCTGACGTGCTGCTGCTAAGCTCCCAAGGAAGTTTTAATTTTTTTAGGATTTTATTAGAATATGACCGCGAACAACATGGCAGATCCAAGACGACCGAGTAAGATTTTTCGGTGAGTAGTTTGTCCGTATTTGAGACTATTTAAGAGATGACTGAGATGAGAGTTTTGATCGGCTTTCGTTAGCATCACTGTTAGCAACAGTTCGGCTAATGATTAGACGAGATTAAATCAGATTTACATTGAAGACAGTAAAATAGATTTACGTTTTGTACGTTACGTAATAATATGTTTTAAATGATAACATCGATGGAATTAAAGATCTATGCTAAATTTATAAATATTGATCTCTATAGTCGTTTATTAAATGTTAGTTTATATGCCAGCCATCAATCTACAATTGTATGTATTAGATCACAATTGTTGCACATTTAACGTATGTCATTATTGTTCAACTAGGTATAGTTTCATGGCTTTCTCTGACGAAATTGTGTGATGTTTGAATTCTTTTTTTTCTTTTTTTTTGTAGTACAAAATAAAATGACAGCATTAATAGTCAAGGCATACTGTGTTTTTGCTTTACAGCTACAAGCCTCCCAACACAGAAACTAACCCCACATTGGAAGATCCTACACCGGATTACATGAACTTGCTCGGCATGGTCTTCAGTATGTGTGGCCTGATGCTCAAGGTGACTTGACCCTCATCTACATAAACACCTGTGTTTACAGCAAACATTGATGTTTACTCAATGATTGTCATTGTTTATGACTAAAACATGAGCAGATTGATGCTCAGCTATGATTTAATGTTCAAATTGTTGTGTATTTGTGTTTTTGGCAGCTTAAATGGTGCGCATGGATTGCTGTGTATTGTTCATTCATCAGTTTTGCCAATTCACGAAGCTCAGAGGACACCAAACAAATGATGAGCAGCTTCATGTGAGTTGCTTATGCTTGTTTGTTTTTCTCCTAATGAATACAAATGTTGGATGATTCCATTATTATTTAATCTTTTATAGAAGTACAAAAATGTAATCTACCTAAAGAAGTCCTTAAAATGTAATGCTTCTGGACTGCCAAATTAAACATACGTTCATTCCTTCAGGCTGTCCATATCGGCAGTCGTGATGTCTTATTTGCAGAACCCACAGCCCATGTCGCCACCATGGTAACAAATAATCCAAACCCAGTAAGCCATCTCAGCAGGGATGGCATGAGAACCAGCTGATCCACCCACAGTCCTTCTGGAACGCAGGGACGTACACTCAAAAGCCCAGCTGGCCAATCAGAGGCTGACAAATTGACTGATGTAGCTCCTGTACGATCGTTTCAAGTTTTCTCTGTGCTCACCGGTTGTTTTTATGTATGTTATCACACTATGCTAAAATATTCATATGCTGTGAATGATTTTGAGAAATAAATGAGCGATTTTGTGCGCTGCTTCAAACATTTCTTTGTGGCTGTAGTTTTCATATATACACAAGTAATTAGTGCTAATTAGGACACTTTGAAGTGCAAAACTAGAGATTGATGTTAATGTATTCATCCAGCTGCTGCTGCTTCTGACTAAATGTGCGGATGGAAGTTTAAAAAAGCCTTTTATTCTGAAAGATTTAGTTTTTCTGAGAAGATACTGCTGCAAACTGATAAACAGTACTGTACAGGCATGCCAGATTTGTTCCTCTCAGTGTGTCCAAGATGGATTCTGCACAGGCCTGGAAGATTTAAGGAACAACTGGCAACTCATGAGCTGTTTTTTTTTGGAAGTATTATTTTTCTTATTAATAGGAGCAATGTGCTTTTTTTTTTGGACTGTTGGTTTTATAACACTAAGGTGGTTTCTTCAAAAAACTGTTAACCATGTTTGATGGTAAATGAAAATTTTTATTTGTCTATAACCTATTACACCACTAGGTGGTAACATTTTCTCTGATCACATTGCCTACAATATTATAATCTAGGCCTATTATATGATTCTTCTCATCTAGTCATATGTTTTCTGATTGGCAAACATATCGTCTCATTTGATGCCCTATCTTTATCCACAATAAATGTAACTTTCATGAATATGAGGGATTAGTCTGGTTTAATAATTTGAAATAAAACCTGTTTGAGAAATTATAATTATATATATATAACCCTTTACATAAAAAAATACTTGTATAAGAAATATTAATGTATTATTGTGTGTCCAATTTCATTTATTATGACGAATGTTTTGTCATTGATGGTCAAAGCTGAGTAAGACGCTGAGTCAGCATTTTACCGTCATTTGACAATTCAGAGACCCCTTTTCTTACGTCTGATCACGCTTATTGTCTAATTCCTAATCCATATAATGTTAATGCGATCCAATAATTATATTTTTATTATAAATTATTCTAAGAAATATTACTGTTTGTTAATGCATTTTCATTACGTAGCCCTCTATCTGATCAGTGAAATTTGCCTTTACATAAATAATGTGTACACTCTCATAATAAACCTGCGTAATGAAGAGAAGATACAAATAATCATACAGTCTCTCCAGCCACCGCGCAGAAGCGGTCAAAACGCGTAGTTTTAATCGGCGCGACACGCTGCTCTCCGCGCCAGTACAGTCACGTATCCGTTACGCGCGCAGAGCGTGAGACTCCTCGTCCAAGTGCAAGCGGGTCTCGCGCCGCGTAGAGTCGTTTCTCGAGAGCCTTGAATGTCACATCTGACGAGAATTAAAAGATTGCACTGAGAAAACATACAACATTATCTGTTTTGCTCAACAAAAATACTTAAAGACAGAATGTTCCGAGCTTGAAGATGGATATGACCTCCTGCTCTGAGAAAACGGACCTCGGACCATTCAGTTTGTGGAGTTTTATTGGTAGTTTTGTCAGTTATAAACTACAGGTGATCCGGACGGGTCCAGATTCCAGGATCTTCTCAGAAAAAAACACAAACCTCTCTGGTGAGTGTCGTGGAAAGTGTTTGTCTCTTTATTATCTTCACAATTGCTTAATATTTCTTTCCCTTTATTTTTTCCCCTTTAAAGATATGTCTATATTATGTCTATATAATATTTTGCTCTAAATACAAAAATGAAATGTATATATCTTGTAAAATATAAAATTTATGTAAATTATGTTATACCATTATATACTAATTATATATTAGAAATCTTTTATTTTACAAAATAACCTAATTTCATCTGTGAATATTTATTTATACATTTAATATATTTTTATATCTATCTATCTATCTATCTATCTATCTATCTGTCTGTCTGTCTGTCTGTCTGTCTGTCTATCTATTTTTGGTACATAAAAATATCTCTACTTGGAATATCTCTGACATCTGAGAAGAATTATAATTTTAATCTTTCTTTTGTTGAAAAGTACCATAAAATACCGTGATCCCTTTGGTAATGTAACATGGTCAAACTATGGTATTCTTTGAATTACCTTGAAGTACCATGTAAATATGTGATTTTACTAGGCCTACCTGTTATATTCACTATACCATGGTATTGATTGTGTTTAACACAGACTTTTGCATTTGTTAGATGATCTTCTGCCCATCTTTTGCTGTTCTCGGTGCGATGGCTTACAGCCAGAGCTATTTATCATAATGTGTTCACTCAGCAGATAGCATATTATTTATGCTCTGAATGGTACTAAATGCAGCAAATCATTTTATTGTGTGTTCAAAGATTTTCCTTTGCACTCCTATATAGCAATACACATGTCAGCAGCAGAATTGGCTGAGACTGAATTTCATCAACCGTTTCTGATTACAGTTCACTATAAAATTCATTTTAATATGCAGCCATGTGAAATGCCTAACACTGGAGAGAAGTATAAAAATCGAGTTCAGAAAAACTGAGTTTGATACTTGACATCTTTGAGTAGGGATTGTGATGGCCATTATTTCCATGGGTAAGTTTTTGTGGTTTTGGAGAACTTTGTAAATGTCACCCTAATTGCATGTATTCATACACACCCACACAATGGTGAGGCTGTCTGTGGGCTGGTGCAATGGACATCCAACCCACACAAATGGCCACTTGCTGTAACACACAATGATGCAAATTAAATCATCCAAAATTGGGTCTTACTACCTTTTGTGGCTATGCGTATGCTTTACCTTGCCATTACAGCGAGATTTATGGTGTTGTCGCTTTAGCAGACAAAGAAAAGCGGGTTTCTTTTGTCTTGTCCAGGAAGCAGCCGATGCATCAAACCCTTTAAAAAAGGATGAGATGTGTTCCTGACTAAAAATACAAAAACATGAATGTCACAATACTGCCAGGCTCCAGGAAGAGACCTAAAAGTGTTTGAAGGCCTTTCAGGATGTCTTCTGGTTCTCCTTCACTTCACTGAATACATTCCCTGTTGGAACTGGCATGGCTTTGCTCTCCATTGGCCAAAAATAAAGAGGCAGATTTAGTTAGTTCCATCTTTAGTGTCTGATCATTGAGACAAGCTTTGTCTCTCCTAATCACAGCCTGACAACAAAACCCGCCTGTCAACAAATAGCACAGCCATAATAAGGACTGTAGTGTGAATGTATTCCATTCACGTTTTGGCCACTGTGCTTTACTCCATCTGTGTCTTTGCTTTTATCTACTCTTTGTACTTTGGGGAAGATCGCCATAGTATTTGCCACATCTTCAATTGCTTGCTTTCAGAAACAGAACTGTAGAAGTGCTATCAGCCCTTCTGGCTCATCTCAAAGAAAAGCATAAACTTCTGACTGTAGCATTGCATTTTGTCTGTGCATGTGTGAGTTTATTTTTGAAATTGTTGAGTGTGTATGTGTCACTTTAAATTACTTTATTCCTCTGCCTGTGTCACAGTGGACAAATTCTTCAAACACCGTCAGCATAAATTGTAGTACCAGAGTGCATCATTTATTTTCACCTGATGTTGGCCTATTGCAATTTTCTCGAAACAACTGCAGCCTTTTTTTAATTAAACCTCCCTTGGTGTTTTTCTTCTCTCTGCTTCCCTTTCATGAGTGTGTATGTGTCACTTTAAATTACTTTATTCCTCTGCCTGTGTCACAGTGGACAAATTCTTCAAACACCGTCAGCATAAATTGTAGTACCAGAGTGCATCATTTATTTTCACCTGATGTTGGCCTATTGCAATTTTCTCGAAACAACTATGCAGCCTTTTTTTAATTAAACCTCCCTTGGTGTTTTTCTTCTCTCTGCTTCCCTTTCCCACTTGATTACACGTCACATATTTTCCCCTTCACTTCCTTTTGCTTATTTATTTATTTATTTTTTGTTGCTGTCAGTTTTTATTATTATGATTATGATGATGATTATTAGTATTATGAACAACTTAACTATAAATATTTTCTAATAAAGACGTTTTATTTAATTATATAACTGTTTTATTTCTTTATTGGAAAATATTGCTCTGATAGTGGTGTTCATAATGCTGCAAACAAATAAATAAATAAATAAAATATTTACTCTTTATATATTTGTAGCATTACCATCTCAGAATAGGTGTTCCATTTAAAAAAAACATATAATTAAAAATAATTATCAATAATAGCAATACCAACAAAAACAAGAAGAACAATGCTGCTACAATAATAGAACAATAGAACAATAATGCTTCAAATGTATGTATGTATGTATATATATATATATATAATTTATTTTCAGTATTAGAATCACAATAGAAGTGTTTCAATAAAGAAATAAGGTTATTATAATATACAGGTGCATCTCAATAAATTAGAACTGGGCAACAGTCCAGTTCTTCTTCTCCTTAGCCCAGGTAAGACGCCTCTGATGTTGTCTGTGGTTCAGGAGTGGCTTAAGAAGAGGAATACGACAACTGTAGCCAAATTCCTTGACACGTCTGTGTGTGGTGGCTCTTGATGCCTTGACCTCAGCCTCAGTCCATTCCTTGTGAAGTTCAGTCAAATTCTTGAATCGATTTTGCTTGACAATCCTCATAAGGCTGCGGTTCTCTCGGTTGGTTGTGCATCTTTTTCTTCCACACTTTTTCCTTCCACTCAACTTTCTGTTAGCATGCTTGGATACAGCACTCTGTGAACAGCCAGCTTCTTTGGCAATGAATGTTTGTGGCTTACCCTCCTTGTGAAGGGTGTCAATGTTTGTCTTCTGGACAACTGTCAGATCAGTAGTCTTCCCCATGATTGTGTAGCCTAGTGGACCAAACTGAGAGACCATTTTGAAGGCTCAGGAAATCTTTGCAGGTGTTTTGAGTTGATTAGCTGATTGATTAGCATGTCACCATATTCTAATTTGTTGAGATAGTGAATTGGTGGGTTTTTGTTAAATGTGAGCCAAAATCATCACAATTAAAAGAACCAAAGACTTAAACTTTGGTTAAAAGTTTGGATAAAACAATGACAAAAATAACAAAAAAATTACACTAAAAACATGTTTGTATTAATATATTCACTTCTGTAA